CTGTTTTTAATACCACCTTCACTTCTGAAGTGTTCACAAAGGAAGTGTTCCATGTCAGTCCTAATATTTAATGTCTTTATGTGAGATGCAGGTAGAGATAATTCTGCAATCCATTCTTTCCACATTCCATTAAAATACCCTCTCAGTTCACTTTCATTCAGCTCACGGTCTCGGCAGTGTTGAGCTACTTCTTTGCTTTTTTTCAACAACTCATCTGTGTACACAGATTTCCTTTGTTCATATCTCCTCTGACGCTTCTTCAGATTAATAAGCTTTTCACAATTTTGAAAAGTTTTATTAATGAGATCTTCCATTAAAAAGTCTAACTTAATTTTAATATTCCCTTTCCACTGAATAATTTGATTGCTGTATTTGTCTTCTTTAAAATGCTTTTCCAAATCCACTTTAACATCTTCATACGTGTTCTTAATGCTCTCTTTCAGGGATGATTTGTCTATGTCATGGACCTTTCCATTTTGGATCTGGATGTTCAGCTTGTGGCCATAATCAAGCATAAAGCTCCTCAATTGCCAGGTCCATTTGCTATATTTGTTCTCTAGCCTACTGTAGGCAGCAATCTCCAGGGTATTTCTAAAGCTGAAAACAAAAGTTTCATTCAGCAAAGCCTGCCACAGGTTCTGAATGTGTGTTTTTAATTCAGAGAACTTCAGAAGGCCCTGTTGTGATTTTTTCTCTCCATCCAGGAGAATTCTGCTTTTTAGCTCCTGTACCTTTAGGCTGTAACTGGGATTTGGCGGGGCCATGGGTGGCTCTCCCTCCCAGAGATGAGGAAAGTAGTAAACATGAGAGTTTACGTCAAACTGGATCACTTCACTAAAGCAGCTAACATCACAGGATTCTTGCTGAGCAGCTGTGACCGTCATTTCATCCAGGCTTTGCTGGAGGCATCTTCGGCTTTCCCTGTTTTTTTCTTCTGTGGTTATTTCCCCAGCATTTTGGTGCACAAACAAACAGCTTGGGGAGAGGTTTACTTTTTTCATCCTCAGAAATGCCTGCACAGCTATCTGAAGCACATCTTGTATTTCTGAAGGGTTCTCTCCAAAAGTATTGATTACTGTCATGTTGCCAAGGCCAATGACAAAAGTGGCTAGCTCATTATCATGATTAAGTATTGTTCTGTTTTCTACTTTTGTAGCCCGAAGTCCTTCTGTATCAACAACAAGCAAATAATCAAAGTTCAGATTTGGCCTGAGCTCATCAGCCACTTTCACTAGTTGCATAAAAGCACCTTTAGTGCATCTCCCTGGACTGACACTGAACTGAAGACCAAACATGGTATTCAGGAGGGTTGACTTTCCTGTGCTCTGGCTTCCAAGGACACAAAGAACAAACACTTTTTTGTCCCCCAACTTCTCAGCTAATGTGTCAAAAATAGCACTAATCCATTTTATCGGCACATGCGATGCATCACCATCCATCAGCTCCATGGGATACCCTGAAACAACCAGATCAGCAGCTATCTGTGGCAGGAAATGGACAACTTGATTCTGTTGAGGCAACATATCCAAAACTTCATAAAGCTGAGCGACCTCTCTCAGAAGATGCTCTAAGCCAAAAGTGGACTCGCTTATTTCCTTTGATAATTCTTCTAGTTTAGAATGCAAGTCACTGTGTTCTCCTTTCAGCCTCTGTGTCCATAAATCATGGTACTTTTCTTGAAGTTCTGCTAGGTGATCTGAGGACAGGTTAGCTATAAAGATTTTAAGCCACTGCAGAAAGTACATTTTGGTATTATGTGAGGAAGAGTGCAGATGTGTAAGGAGTGACTTCATTAGGTCACTAAAGGGGAAAGCCTGGTTTAACTGATCTTGCTTTATTCTTTGCTTTGCAGAATTTATTTGGCTTATTTGCTGCTCAAGCCCCATGTTCTCATGGTCCTGCAAATGGTTTTGTTCTCTGTCTTTCTCACACCACATGTGCCATAATGTTCCCTGCAGAGGCAGCAGTATGCTTTTTCCCCTCAGGGTATGTTCATCTTTCAGAAGATTTACTGTATTTTCTGCCATGGCTTTGCCTGTTTTACACTCCTTTTTGTCCTCGTCTACCAAAAAGCCATGCTTTCGAGCAACAACTGCACACGTCTCAAGGCTGTGACAGCTGTTTGAAATGGTCAGAGCAGACTTAATTTCTTGTGCCAGTTCCTCAATTAATGCTGCCTCATTACGATTTTTGCCAGCTATTTTTACTCGCCTTGTGTGCCTGTTAGTTACAATTTGTTCTTTGTCAGTGCAAAGGAAAATGAAAGGTTTGGGAGACCTGAGGAGTTCTCTCAGAAAAGTTTTGCTATCTCCATGCCAATCATTTTCTGACAAGAGAATCACAGTGACAGAGGCTATCTCCTGCAAAAAATCAACCTGCTGCTTATGTTCCTTTGAGTCTCCATGAAGATTAGTGAATGCAATGCAAGTGTCAAACATGTCATTTTCCTTCCCCCCTGGACAGTACCAGGCAATTTCCACTACTCCTTTCATCAAGAGACAATTTATGTTGCTCCCTTTACAGTGACGATGGAAAAAGACACTATGCTTTTGTTTACTCAACAGATTGTTCAATAGCTGGGATTTCGAAGATGAAGATGTGCTAAACCTGATGAACGACACCACAGGTGTAGCTACCTGATAAATCAATTTCTCTGCACATTTGCTTCCCTTCTCTTGCCATTGCTTACGGACCAGGCAGAAGGACCAAAGAGGTAACTCTATTTGTGAAGTACAAGGAATGGGCACCAAAAGGGGGAGGGCAAACTGGCAGAACGAGAGCTTCGTTGCAATGTACTGTCTCATAAAATCATCTGCGCAGTAGAAAATGGCCATCTGGACATCCATTGGGTGGATGGACTTCTGAATGCTTAGAATAACTTCAGGACATCCCTCACTAGCATCCTCAAAAATGTAATCTAAATCATCTAAGTGTTCACTTGCATCTGATATGTTGGTTTCACCTTGCTGAAGACTAGTGTCATCTTTGTAAGCCACATATCTTGCCCTGTAGTCCAGCATTAGTATCTTTTCCAACAAATAACACGGCAGTTCTTGGTCAGTACTAGGGTGGTTGTCAAATAAAGATGTTTTCTGAATGAGATGGAAGTCTGACATTTTCATTTTATTCGGATAATGCTGTTCCAGCTGAAGTCTCGTCATCAAATTAAAAAACTCATTATTTAGCTTATTTTTCCTAATGTTGTCCTGGTTGGAATTCACATCTTTGCACTCTGAATTCCCTGACTGGTTGCTTTCCTGGAATATACTCGTTAGTTCTCTTAAGACATTCTCTTTTTGTTGATCATAATTTGTAGCTTCATAATTCCCATCAATAAGGTAATCCAAATCTCTTTCCAACAAGTTCCAGTTATTGCAGGTATTATGTTTTCTGAGGACAGCAGCAGTTTCATTTGTCAAAGAGTTTTTCATGCGGTCAATCATAAAAGCCAAGCGTTTGTTCTTCTCATCTGGAGGCACATCTTTATGATCAACTGATATTCTCATACCCATCTGAATTAAGTAAGCCTGAGCTCTATAAGCATCCTTCTCACAAAGAGCCAGATATTTCTGATGTGCTTCTTGCATTTCCATTAACATGAAGTCAATTTCTGGAGAGCCAAGGTGGCACTGGAACATATTATTTTCTACATGGTATCCTGCACTGTGTGCAATTGATAGCAGCAACAGCTCTAGATTTTCCTGGGAACTCTCTCTCAGGGCCTTCAGTAAGGAGTTGAAAGCCAGGCTCAGATCTGGGAAAATTTTCACTTTGCCCTCTTCTACTGCAGCAGAAGCAGAAACAGAAACTGCAGGATTGTGGACTTCATCCTTGATGCTGGTCTTCATTTGCTGAAGGATGCTAATAAAGTCAGCCAATTCTGTAATGGAGGGAGCTTGTGGCTGCTCATTTTCAGTACAAAAGATCCACTGCATGATGAATGATGAACGGGGAAAATGCCGAACTGCATAAATGTGAGGATCCAGAAGACTGCGGAGAAGAATTCGCATATAGCTGATGTCTACTAGATCTTTTTTCAATAATAAAACTGTTTGTTCCAGGAAATTCTGAAGTGCTGGATTTGACAGACATATATTCATCCACATCTGTTCTGACTTCGTTTTTTCATATAGCCTCTTTTTGAAATTAACTAGTTCCACTAATTTATCTGGATCAGTGGTGATCTTCCATTCTTTTAGGCCCTCCAAAAATACTGTGACCTCTTTCTCCACACCAAGCAGTTCCTCCCCACAAATCCTACTTACTTTTATGCCACTTAAGGCTTCGTAGGATTCCCTGAGACTGTCAGAAATGCCAAGAACATCTTCAAAATCTTCCTTGTGATTGGACAAGGCAATGTCCCATACAGGTATGAACTCATCACCCCGATCAATAACACTCCAGGTTTTATTACTAGCCAGTAGACCAGCTTTCCATGGTATGAGTGAATCCACTTCAGGGGGACCACCTGTTTTATATACAGAGAGCTGAATTTCTGTTTGTGATGATTTTTTATCAGTTCCTTCAGACGATGCATCTGTTTTGGATCCACCAAAGTCAATGCCACCACCTTGACCAGAATAGCAACCTGTTATGTGGGCAGAGAGAGCATTTTGGGTTCGTTTCTTCATTTCTTCTAGTTGATTTTTCTTAAAGCCCTCTGAAGACGCTCTCAACCAAAACATCCCACCAAAGTGAACGTGACAGTTAACATGAGAACCAAATCTCTTGAAAAAGCTCCCACATCTGCTCTTTAAAATGCTATCATTATCAGACCCATGTCTTGAAAGACATTCAATCTTTCTTAACTCTTGCAAAGCTGAACTGGCAAGCTTGAGCTGGTCCCTTGGGAAGTGGCACAAGGCCATTGGGATGTAGTTGTATTGGGCTGTGCAAATATAAGAATGTTCAGAAGAAGACTTCGAGGTTTTAGCAGATTCTGAAGCTCTCGTATAACTACCACAGGTCTTTGCACTGAATCCCTTTAACCCACGATTACAGGCAAGGCTAAAACTGAGGCCCAAATGTTCCACAACCTTCCTGAATGTAGATTCTTCTTCTGAAGATGAAAATTCAATTTTATCAAGACACGACCCATGAATTGGACCACAGAACTTGAATCCTTCTGGAATCTGGATGAGCTGCTCTCGCTTACCCAGCAGGTCTGTGATGTCTGTAGTCTGGTAAATGCCCTGCAGAGCCAGACCTCCCGATGCCCATGTTAAGATTTCATGGTCAGAGAGATTCTCACTTCTGGTCACTGGCTTTTCTGAATGTGCCTCTTGAGGGAGCTTCTTCTCTATCACTTCCCTCAAAGTCTCTTTGGGCTCCTTTAAGCCCTCAGAAGGAATTTTCACAGTATTCTGCCATTCCTTCACTGCTTTTTCATGCTGGACTTTTTCTTTCTGTAACTGTTCTTCTATATCCTTCAGGGCTGCTTCAGTTAATTTTTTTGAATCTTTTGATCTGTCTTCAGGGGATGATTCTTGAAGCTTCGGGAGTGAGTTCACGGGTTCCTTGCTGGCCATCGTCAGCAACAGTTGTGATGTTTGCTTCTCTCAGGTATGCTCTGTATGGTACACAGTCTTCCTATACCTGTGTTGTTCCTACAGAATGAGAAGCAAGAGAACAAATCAACCAGTACTTCTAATTTGATGGGGGAAATTCTAATAATATTGTAATAAAATTTTCAATCTCTATCTTACTGAGGCTCAAGTACCTTTGACGTCGGCAGGTGATGTCAAATCATGTACATATGGGTCAGGAAGATTCATGCTCTTCCCTGCATGGTGCATCCAAAGCATCTAGGCATCATGGGAACTGTAGATGACATGATAGTATAGCATCAGGAATAGGCATGGTCCCAAAAGTCTCTTGAACCTTTTTGGTCCCATTTCAGAGTCTGTGGTTTTCGAACTGACTGAGAAAAGGGGTCAAAAATAGATCCCTCAAATCTGGTGGGAGGATTTGGACTAAGTCTAGATCAGAGGTGTCAAACTCATTTGTTACGAGGGCCAGATCTGACATAAATTTCACTTTGTCGGGCTGGGCCATGCATGCCATAAAATGTAACATGAGGTACCAGCTGATTTCAGATGCCAAATGGCAATAGTTCCAGAGTTTGGGGTGAATGACAATAGCAAGCTTGATTGGACTACATGTGATATGCAGAGGGGCAGCAGGCATGGAGATACTAGCATTGCTAATGAGACAGGAAACCTAAGTCTCAGTTCCATCCAGGAAGATTCAGTCCAGGAGGATGCAAAGAATAAATGGACATAAGTCTGACATTAGAAACCACAACATTCAAAAAACAGTGGAGGGACATTTAACCTTCCAGGACATTCAGTTGCTGACCTAAGAGTAGCAGTTCTCTTACAAAGGAATTTCAAAGAGAGATTAGAAAGAGACACTGCTGAATTGTAACTGATAAAGAAGCTCAATGAATCCTCCAGAACTGAATTGAGACCTAGGTTACTTCTCTCATTACCAACGCCTGCTATTGTCATTTGGCACCTAAAATCTCTCCAAGATATAAGGACCAATGGACTCAAATCTAGCTGTATCTGAAGAAGTGAGCAGTGACTTACAAAAGCTCATTCTCTGCCATAAATTTTGTTAGGTGCTACTGGACTCTTGCTCCTTTCCTCTAATAAAGATTGCAAGCTGTGTTGCTAGGTTTCTCTCCCCCCCCTCATCTGTTTAAACTGGAGAGGAGGGTCCCTCCAAGTGAAATAATGTGTTTATTTCAAACTGGGCAAAATCAGTGCTATTGCATCAAAAGCAAAGAGGGACAGAAGAAAGGCAGCCAGAGAGGGAGACATGTGGAACTGGAACATATGGAACTGTAAATGTATTTTAAATACTTAGCCATCTACTTCCAGTCATTAAACAATGGAATCCAATCCAAGTGTTCTAATTCCTAATCAGGGTCAAATAGTCATTGAGAAATCTAATCTTAAAAAAACCCTTTTCAGAATAAGCCAAAATAATTTCCTTTTAATTCTCCTTTCCCCTTATCTCAACCTGCCCCTTCCTTTTAACGTGCATACGTGTGTGTGTGTGTGTGTGTGTGTGTGTGTGAGAGAGAGAGAGAGAGAGAGAGAGAGAGAGAGAGACCAAGTCTCAGAGGAGGAGAGCTCAGCCAATGGAGGGAAGGGAGATTTGCCTAGATTCTCTTCTGCATGAAGCCAGGACAAGGAAGAGGGAGCTGGGAAAAAGTGAGTGCCTACAGCAGCAGCCCCAGAGAAGAAAGCCAGTTGCTCATGGGCCAGATCCAAGCCCTGCAGGGGCTGGATCTGGCCTATGGGCTGTATGTTTGACACCCCTGGTCTAGATATTCCCCATCACTAGTAAATACTTTTAGATACTAACGTGATTTTATCCTTCCCTTGCCAGCTCTTCTTAACTCATTGTAGTTCGTTTTTGTTTTGTTGTTCCTTGGAAACTGCATTTTAAAGGACAAAGATAGTTTACCACATTTTGCACTTCTTGCAGCTCCATGTTTGGTTGTCACTATGTTTGTGAAGTTTAATTAAGTCTTTTCATCCAGCTGCCTCTTTGTTTCATTAGCCTGGTTATCATGAGAAATTTTAAATAATTATACGAGGACTGCTGCTTAGTTGATGTGTCTAAGTGCCTCTTTTATGTTTTTCCACATGCTGCCAACAAACTATGTATTTTTGAGCCTTTTCTTGATATTGGTGGTATTGTGCTTTGAGAAGGCAGCCTGTACACAGATTCAGTCATCTCATTCTTTTCTTTCAGGTATTTCCTGATCTTCTTTACAGATATGGCTATAAACTGGAGATCTTAGAAAATAGATATATTAATACAAAGCTATGCTTTTCAGATTTTTTTTTTGGGGGGGGGGAATACAGAGCTTTTTTCCTGCTAACCTAGCAGTTCAAAAGCAAGAAATTGCAAGTACACAAATAGGTACCGCTTCGATGGGAAGGTAACAGTGTTCCGTGCGCCTTGGCGTTTAGTCATGCTGGCCACATAACCACGGAAATGTCTTTGGACAGCGCTGGCTCTTTCGCTTAGAAACGGAGATGAGCACCGCAACCCTAGAGTCAGATTCAAATGGCTTTCGAGCAAGGGAAACCTTTACCTCTACCCTTTACCTTACAGAGCTTTTTAATGGGTTCTGCAGAAAGCAACTTCCCATACTCTCATTTTAATTTATTGAAAAACTTGAATCCCCAACCCCCAATTTTTGGATATATGTTGAGAGTCCTCCAAACCATCTTTTGTGAACATGAACTAAGGCACAGCATGAACAAACTGCAAACTGTTTTTTTATTTAATTTATTTTAATGTATATAAATTATATATATATATATATGTAAATAAATATAACGATAAATTAATGTTTAATTTAATATTGAGCAGAACAAACAGTTAAATCAGTTCAAACTAGCAGTGTTTTTGGAAATCCTTTGCAGATCTACTCAGGTCTAGTTTATGGGGTTCACACCCAGGAAAGACTTTTTACGACTGCAGCCTTAAACAAACTGCAGGAATTTGTTTGAACCAGATTAAAAACATTCTGAAACAGGGGGCGGGGCTACAGGCTCAGCGATATGGTCAGCACCAGGAATTCCTCCTGGGTGCCACCGACTCTTTGTTCTATTTAGAGGAGTTTTTGGGGGATCCCGAACTCCACTGGACCTCCTGGAGGGAGGTCTGGTGCAAGGGACTCGATTTGAGTCCCCTTTTTGTGGCTAAAGTGGGTGGAAGCCCTGGATTGTCCCAAAGCAAAGAATGAAGAAACGTGTCAAGGTCTGGGGTGCAGGTAGAGGGAAGTCCAAGTTCAGTCCAGGGTCTTGTGCCAAAGGGAGTGGAGCAGGAGCCGAGAGCGAAAGTCAAAAGCACAAACCTGGAGCAAGGTTGTTCAAGTCAGAGTCAGAAGCTGGAGGAGAGGAGCAGGAACGAGGTCTGGAATCAGGAGGTGAAGTAAATGCAAGGCATCGCGGAGGTGACGAGTTTGCTTCCACAAAGGAGACAGCTTAGAGCCTAAAGCTAAATAGCCCTTTGCTGCTGTTTCCAATTAGTGTAGCGGCACCAGCAGCCAAGCGTCTGTCAAAACTCAGGGCTAACTGGCCATCTGCTCCGCAAACGAGCTGCACGTCACGTCATTGCTAAGTCCTGCCAGAGTTGGTCTCATAAGTGATCAACTCTTGGGGGCAAGTCAGGAGGGCTTTCCATCTGTGGTTGCTCCTCGTCGGCTGTTTCTGAGCCGGGTGCCAGTGCGGGCGGTGATGGCAAACTGCCCGTCTCTGAAGCTTCAGAGGGGCCAGCTTGTCAGCGAGCTGCCATTTCTTTGGGACAAGCCTCGTCCCTTTCTCCTCCCCGCCCCTCCCTTACTCCTGTAGTTGTTATCCTCTTCATGTGGTGCATCTGTAACTGCCAAGGTTCTCCAGCTGGTGGGATAGGGTGTTGTGTCTTTCTGCTCTGGCTTGTTTAATATTCCCGTGTGAACTCAACTTGTGTTTATGGAACTGGCCGTTGCTGTTCTCATACTGCTTCGCGCCTTTTCTAATCTGCAACCTAACGAGGGAAATGAGCTCATTGGGTTGAACCTGGTTTGAAGTTCCTTTAATACACCGTCCCTGACTCTTGTAGTTATTCCTAACAATCTCTGTATGTTCATGATCGACCAAGCTTTGGAAATAAATCTTCTTTTTGAACGTGGGTCTATTCTCCTGATTTGGGATCTAACACAGCTGCGGGTTCTGCTGGAGCTGGCAATGGTCCTTCCTCAGCACCCATGACAAAATGCAGTTATGACAGCCATAACTGCACCAGCTGTGTACGCCCTGAATCAAGAGAGTTAATCTGAGCCTCATCTGTGACATTGATGAAGAAATACACTGTTAAGTACCTGGAAAAGCATAACTGAAGAAGCCGATTACTTTCTCTTTAAGCCCCTTTAAAATTCAAAAAGATACTGAAAAGAGGGTGACTCCCCCCCTCTTTCCTTTGCGGAGCGGCTGGGACGATTTACATAAAGAAACCTGAGATAAATATTTCCTGGGGCAAAGGGAGACTCTGGTTTAAGCGTCTATAAAAAGATTTTAAAATTTTCTTGAAAAAAGGAAGAAAGAAAGAGTTATTTAGAGTTGACTCTGTTACTTTGTGGCAACTTTTTATGACATCATGCTTCATTGCTGGGAACGGTGGAGCTTATTATGTTTAGTGTTCCTAGTGGAGTTGTAAGCATCTGACTTGTGCTGAAAGATCCTTAGTTGTCAACAGCTCTAAACACGGTCAGCTTTGAAAAGCTTACTGGCAATAACTAGCAGAGAGTGTGGACTTTGCTGGGACTTTTGATACTGCTTTAAAATGGAGGGACAGGACCCAAAAAGAAAAATGCCAGATGATGTATGCCTAGAGAGCTCCGCAGAAATTAATCAACTGCAGGTTTCTTGGGAGGAGTTCTGGGCTATGATTGTGGACGAAGTCACCCTAGCATTTAAAGAAGCTTTGGAACCAGTAATGGATAAATATACTCCAACACTAAGTC